AAACTATTAATGAAGTGTGATTGTTTCTACTATGTAAAACTAGTTAGACATTTGAACCATGTTATCTTTAAGTCACGGTTGAAGTAAACGTGTTAGGAGTCAGTGTGTCTATGGATACTAAACATTTCAGTTGAAAACAACTAATCAACGGGAAATCCAAATAATAAATTCAACAAAATACAGCTAATAATGGATGTGAAAGAAGAGGCTAAAGAATAGCCTTGTGGTGTTTGCATCACATGGTTCGATATGGAGTGTGTGCAGCATATGTTAAAAATTTCTAAGTCACCTCAGGTCGTAAAGCTTTATGATTTTGTCACCTAACTGTCCCATTTCTGTGAAAACATCATCTTTGACTTCTACATTACGCATGTGTTATTTCTACGAGAGTTGGAAAATAAATGGAACCACTTCATGTCCAACAACTTGAGCAACCATTTCCTCATCCATATTGGACGAAAAAGCACACTTCCGTGCTTCAAAACTATTGTTTCATGGGTGACGAGAGGTCGTGCTTGTGTTATATTCTGCTTAGTTTGGAGGAGAAGAGATTTCAGTAGCCAATAACCTCCCAAGGTGTTTAGGAGATCAGAAATGCCCGTTAATCATTCTCAAGTCGTTACGTGAAACGTTCAGAAGATTTTCTACTTTATGCGTGTCTGGATAACGTGGGGTTTCCACTCATATACTTGAATGTTGACCGAGGTATCCCTTCAAGGGAAACGAAGCTAGGTGTGGAAATAAAGGTCTTATGAGCACAAATTTTATGAATAACGTTTTTGATAGAAATGGTCAGACAGAAATCAGAATATTAGTAATCACTACACAAGATGATTTCATACTTGCTTCTGGTGACAGTGCATTAGAAAGTTTTATTTTGTTATTCAGGTGAAATGCCCGTGAATACAATAATATAGTAAATGATTTGAGAGGGGAATTATTTCTGTTAGGTTTGTTTCCACTAGGCCAAGAAGATATGATACTGGATATTTTGGTGGCACTCCTGATTATCTTTTAGGTTTAGCCAGTAAACCAGACGATATCGAGCATACATAAGGTTATTGTTGACACACACACACAATGAAAAGCCTAAAACGTATACAATCCCAACTTTAGGCAATGAATGGTATTCCAGTGATTTTAGGTACCTGTTTAATTTTAGATTCTTTGGTGTTGATATATATATATATATATATATATTATTGGATCACAGATTAGCAAAACTATGGAAAATTTGAATTAACAGTAGAAAGAGTGAAAGATTTTCAATCATTTTGTAGAAGATCGAACTCGTCCTTTAGTGAATCCCATCCAGCAGTTGAGTGGTATTTCTACCGGCTTTTAACCCGGCTACATTGACCTCCGTTTCGGTCGCAGGATATTTCACTTACACTGGTAAAACAGAAAACAAAATGTGTCCGACTCTTCTTAACTTTCAGTGGTCACATGGCCTCGTCGATTTGTGTAAAACATTTTCGTTGTGATACAACAAACATTTTTATATCACCATCTTGTTTTGAAACTCCCAGTCATAAAACCCATATCTCTTTAATACTAGGGTCTTATGATAATTTATTGTTACAATTATTAGGTCAAAAATTCGTTTTTCTCTTCGGTATTCTTTTCACTTTCCTACTGACAAGATTTACCAGTAGCATATAAAGAGATGTTCATCTGTATAAAAATCCCTAATAGCGGAGAGATAGACTTGAAGTCAAAGATAGGGAATCCACCAGCATTGTAGCGAAACATGGGAGATATGTAAAGAAGACAGAGAAACACAACACGAAGGATAGAAGTCGATTAACATAGTAGATTTGTACAAATGAAGATTTTAACTCGTAGTATGCACAATTTCCCTGTAAGTGTGTACCGACCTGCAAATAAACATCCCAATGCCAACCACTCTTGTGTTCAGCCGTTGCATTATTACTTTTGTTTCTGTCATCATTAATCTTTCCAGTGAAATTTAACGTTGCTTAGAAACTCAGTAATAAACGGGGCTTTCCAAACTTGCTAGCTTCGAGGATATGCATTTCCAAAATGCCCGTAGACACTAAAAATAGATGTAACACGTTATATCTTATCATATTTAATGACTTTATCGACCGGATACTGTAATGGGTCAAAACTTATTCCCTTTCTTTTGTTCTTACATTTATGAAAATCTGTGTTTGCTTAGCTGTGAACAAGCGCATCGAAAACATCGGTTAAGATATTTCACGTTAAACTGTTTATCAAGTACACAGACGATTGTAATTGGTGTTTACAAAACAAAAATGAGATTGGATGCACGTTCGAATATTTATTTTCTTTTCAGTGTTGATTTTATCCTAAAATACAGACCATTATATTCAGAGTGAATGTAAACAATACATTAAATTTCACGTACTAAAGGGTATTATACCTCATTTTTTCTAGTCCTTCTGTTAGACAACTGAAACAACACACATCTATTTTTAGTCCTGTTTTGGTCAATCTTTGCATACTTTGATGATATTTCCTTCTTTGTTTCTAGTTGATTCACTCAGAAAACACTATTTCGTCCATTTTAGTCTAGTCGCTTGAATTTGCTGAAATCCAAATGAGTAAAAGCATACCAAGTGCGAAACAGGATTTTTAAATGGGAAGAGCAGCTGATTGAGAAATTTATTTGGATGATGTATATCATGAATTGTTTTCCTCATTACAGATAACTCACATTCTGGGCTAACTCATGCCTACGGAATGAAACAGAACCTAGAATATATCTAAAAAATATCATAAAATGATTAGTTTCGGCATAACCAGTTTTCACACTAATATTCTCATCAGTAAAGCTCTGAAGGCAGTTAGGAATGAACTGAACATTGATCCTGAACTCAAAAATATGGCTAAGCTCTGGACAGATGAAATCATATTAGGTGTTCAGTTACGCCTAATGTTCACTGCATTCAAATTTCAAAATAAACTAAATAAACAAACGAATGAGGTGGCAATGGAATCATCAATATCCCCGATAGTTGCAGACGTAGTCGTGAATAGCTGGTAACATAAAGCTCTTCGAAAGCTTAATCCTGCCTTTAGACTATGATGGAGACATGCGGATGATGCATCAACCGTGTTGAAATCTGAACATATCGCTCATTTTTTCACATATGTAAACTCAGTAGTAGACGGAATCCAGTTCATTTCTGAGTTAGGAAACGAACAGGGTGAGTTAGTTATGCTAGACTGTACAATAAGACGAAAACGAGACGGTAGATTAGATAATAGAATTTATAGGAAACCGACACACTAATAAATACTCAGACTTTAATTCATCCCACCTAGAATCTGTAAAGATGAGTTTAGTTGAATGTCTGTACAATCGAACCAAGAGCCTAACTAGTAGACCAGAAGATATAAATAACGGAATTAATTAAATAGAGGAAATATTACTAGTGAATATCTACCCATTAGAATTTATTCAGAAACATATGAAGATCCACAGAAAAACTAAGACTAGGAATAAAAGTGATGAAAAAAATAGAATTCAAAGCCTCTGTAGCACTGCTGTATAAAGAATGAACGTCAGCAGTCCTGCGTAGTATTCTCAATGAGGCTGGAATCAGGGTGGCATTTACACTAACCAACTCTCCTAGAGAAGCCTTTTTTGGCTCAGTGACCTGATAGTCCTAGCTAGGAAAGATATTATGATTTACCGAATAGCATGGAATGACTGTGAAAACGAAGTTATCTTCCATTAACAACAGTAAATCTCTTAATCATACATGTATTAAAAATATGTTACGTTCAAAGTGTGGTTTAACACTACAGCAATAAAAAGGTAACCTTCACAGTTCTAAAGTAATAATCATACTAACAATCAGGTTAGTAAAGCAGGATATTTCAAACCTAGAATGATTAAAAGGGTAATAATGTGGCAATATTGGAAGAAGCTCCAGGTGAATATTTTTGTCCTCACAGTAGCTTTCTGTTCGTAAACGCGTTTATAAAAAGCTTTTATTGTTAAGTGCTAAGAAATTGGTTGTATTTTATGGACTTTAGAGAACGCTTATTCATTAATATTTACCTTACACTTTTAAAGGTGGATAATGAGTGGAAATTCACGCAGTTGTTTGGAAAAGCAACCAAATTTTAAATTAGTATCAAAATATTTTTAATTTTATAACGGTATGGTTGCAACTTATAATGGAGTATAGCAACGAAACCTGTTTGTCTTAATACATGTTTTACTAAAAGAACAAATTTACTTATCTATCGTTTGCTTAACCTATATTTCTAAGTGTGACTTCTCACTGACTTCTGTGGAGTCCTCAAAAATAAACTTATCCAAATTTTACTACTATGTAAGAAATGAACATATTGTACATCACTTTGTTTTAACCATAAACTCTGTACTTTGATTTTTACCTCTGGTTTTGAATAAATATATAGTTCTGCCTTCGACTCTCCGTCTTCTCCACCATCTTAACTGCCGTCGATCAATTTTAATCACCTGCTTTCTATCTCAAATTTTTGCAGGAGCACCGTAGTTCTTCCTACGTACTTTGGTCGACCTCCGGCAACGTCAACATTGGAGAATTAGTACTGGAGCAGTCTTCCCGCAGCGCCTCCGGAGTCTATTACGTTTATTGTGGATTTTTGGATCTTTGTAAACCCAAGTGACGAAACTTTAATATATTCTTCCCGTAACTAAGCTGATTTGGTATTTTATTTTCTATTTGAATTTGGGTAACTAAGCTAACAGAGTAAGAAGTGTACCACACTTGTGCAACTGTGTTTGTAAACTAATTACGCATGCTAACAGGCTCAGATATACGTTTGATTTAAGGTATTTACTACATGACTTCAAACGCACTTTGGGAACGCGAAAATCATGGGATTATTTTCCTGAGATATCCAGTTTTGCCGTTATTTTCCCATCAGAGGTTTTACTGAATATTAAAAAGGCAAGTATTTCAAATAAAGTTATTTTATAACAAGTTTTGAGGAATATCTCCAATCTTTTTAATGTTCCCACCCAATCAGCTAAAATAAAAAAGACAAAAAACTTTTGGATATCCATTTAATCCAGTCGATGAGAAAAGAAACAAAGATACATTTGGCACTTGAAAGCCAAATCGATGATATTATTTGATTTCCAGCACTTTTTCTGTCCATCATTGTGGTTAGCTTACCACTTGATTCCTTCTATAATATTATTCAAAGTAGTGGCACTGTTTTTAAGCTTGGAGATCTCGTCAGAACTGAGTCGTTGTGGGATTACGTGACTTATACCAGCCGAATTTACTAGACATGGAAGACTCAGATAAACATCTTCTTCTATTCCATGGATTCCTTTTACGTACGTCGAGAGTGGGTAAATTGCCTGAATATTATAAAGTATTGAATTACAAAGTGACTGGCAAGTGAGTCCTATGGCCCAAGAAGTATAACCTTTTAGGCGTATTATGTCATAGGCGCTCCGAACAACTTGCTTATGTACTTCTTCAAACTTTTCAGGATCCTTTTGACTTCCAATGTCCGGATTCACACATGCTAAACGAACTCCACCAACGTTGACATTGCTCCAAACCGGAACACTGGAGTCACCATGTTCACCGATTACGTAGCCATTAATTGAATCAACGGAAACTCCTAATTTTTGTCCTAAGAGGAATCTGAATCTTGCAGAATCCAGCATTGTTCCAGTTCCCATTACTCTGTAAGTAGGAAATCCACTTAACTTTTGTGCAACGTAAGTTAAGATATCAACTGGATTTGAAACAACCACAATTACGCTATTCGGACTGTATTTGACAACATTAGGAATTATAGATTTGAAAATTTCCACGTTGCGCTGAACCAAATTAAGTCGTGACTCACCTTCGCTCTGTCTTGCACCGGCTGTAATTACCACCATATCTGAGTCAGAGGAATACTTATAATCTGTTCCACCAACAATTTTACACTTTTTGGAAAATTGTTGGCCATGCTGTAAGTCCAAAATTTCACCTTTGACTTTGTTTTTCTGCATATCAATAAGTGCCATTTCGCCAGCAATATTAACCGCAGAATACGCGATCGCCATTCCAACTGCCCCAACACCGATTATAGATAACTTGCCCCTCGAAATCGCTCTTACACTACGTGGAGCCACTTGCTGCATAATGGATTCTTTCATGGACGACATTTTGGAAGTAATACCAAAGTAACCCACAACTACGACTTTATATACTGCCAACCGAAATTGTACTCCAAAAGTTCAGTGAAATAGATGATTCAAACAATTCAGGCTCAGCTAAAACTAATCAACTTTTTTGCTAACGTTACATAGTTCATTAAGTGGGATTTAACAAAAAGCAGTGTATTTTCAAAATAAAAATCTCTGTACATGCACTCTCAGTTATTTTCCAAAAGTCCTTGTAAATCATTTATACAATCCAGTAAATTACTGATGACCTTATGAAAAACTGTTTCTTCCCTGGTTACGGCTTCTCAGAGTCGTGAACAAATTCTAACTTTTTCACGGACTTCAATCTAAAGTATCTACCCTTTTGGCTACTGTAGCTTGTTTGAATGCATTAAGTGAATAGCCATCACATTAACTTGCAGAATTCATCTCTTTGCACGGACACTGATGAAACATATTATTCCTTCTTCTTACTTTTGCCAGCAATGGGATAAACACCCACCTTAGTGCAGATCAGAATCTATGTCACTAAATTTTTATCACGACGTTGCTAATAGGTGACAACAAGACTTGCATAAACCAAAACTAGAAGTTGTCGTTCATTTGAAATAATTTGAAATAATCGGCAACAGGTGAACTTTTTAGTTCATGCGCAGTTAGATACCGGAATTAATGCGATTTAATCCACACAAAAGGATAAACGAAGCATACTGGAACTGAATCAAAGCATGTGTCATGCATAACGAGGTATCGCCTCTCCCAACAAGCAATGCTAACTGATAGAATTAAGCTCGATCCACGGTCTTGTGCGCAAACCTCAAAATACCAGAAAGTCCTTCATCGTCATATTGCATTCAACACGTCTTAGAGCAACAACCTTTCGAAAAATCGGTCGGTTACTCTAGCGAATATTTAAAATGTTTGAAATCCTCAAACCCAAATTTCCCTTAAACCTAAGAAGCAGAATCATGTTGGTTGGTAAACTGCTTCAAAAGTATTGCAATACAACTAATCACTGTTTTTGAGATAGTAAGTGTAAACTTTCTCTCTTTACTCAGAAACATCGAAAGTCATCAGTCTACCATGATTCTCACTGTATGCCGCAATAAAGGGATTATAACTTTTCGAGAAATTCGCCCCCACAATCTATATAAATAAATGAATAAATAAATTTATTCTCATAGTACAGTACATGATGGACGGCAGTTTACAGGCATCATCAAATTTTTACAGAAATAGAACCACATAATTCAGTCACAATTTACAGGCGGTAGCAAGATATGCTTAACATGTTCGCTGGAGATTATACATACACTTGATAAGTGTTAATCCCAGTAGTATAAAACGACCTTTTCACTTATATACAATCATTTCTGTGCACAGTTGGAAAAATCTGCTAGATTGCCAGTGGGTGCAACACATCAGGAAATACAGAAGTATTGTCCTCGCATTAACAAAAAACCAGGTGTTTGGTGGGTGAATTATAAGTGCCAGGGAAGTTATTGGTTTCAGGAGAAACAAACACACCCATCCCTGCCTCTTGCGAAACGAGACCGACTTGCAAATGTCACTAATTCTCAAATGTGTACCTTCGGTGACTTTTTAAGTCCTAAAGAGTTAAATTCGACCGGCAAATGTAGGCCGAAACAACCGCACAAGGACAAATACACACATTTCAATCGTGTGCATATCAGTTGACGGTACTCTGTCAGCACCATGCTTTTGCTACACTCCTTAGAAATTCTCTGCTAATAATAATTTATTTGCTTTATTTCAAAAACAGTACTAATGATACAGCAAGGAATTTTCAGCATTCAGTACAATATCGCATTTAATTTACTCAAAAACGACAAAAAATTTAAAAATACATATTATATTATAGTAATAAAAACGACTGTTATAGCAGCTACATAGCAAAATAATGTATGCCATACGGAGAAAAATATGCATAAAGTACAAAATTGTACTAATAATAGTAATACCAACTAAAATAAAATAGCACAGTAATAATTAGACGATAGAAAAAGTGACAGCATAAAATAATGAACGAATGAACGATGCAAGAGTCGATTCACTGTGCTAATTATATAGTATCCTAAAATTTTCACGTATAAAACAGTCTTTGTCAACGTAGTTGAAGATTGAACGATCAATTCATGGTTGCTTGCTCAAACCCAGCTTCCCTATATTTTCGCGGAGACATCGATACACCAGTCATCGTCTCATCGGTCGCTGTTTAGAAAGAAGTCAGGCCAAAACTGTCAGAAGTATTACTGTGATTTATTATTGTAATATTTGTTCATAGACCTTAGTTAAAGCTTAATTTTAAAGTTGGCTATATATTGGTGTTACAATAAAGAATTCTCGAGTAAACAATCGGTGTTTTGGTTTTGCGTCCGTTATTACTAAGCGTTTCTGAGAAACTTCAAGGAACAGCGCGAGCCCGAGCGTAGCAAGGGCTGGACATTGACGATCTATGAGACGTGGCTCACAGTCTTCGTCACATAAAGTATGGGATTAATATGTTATTTTAGAATTTTATATACTTAGTGATACGTGTATATAACTTTTTCTATTGACTTCTGTTCCTACCTGATGAGATACAATGAGATATGTGTGTATAAATGGGTTGCAGAGGGTCTGAAAGCATAGCCTTTGCCCATTTTGTAGAGGAATTTTATGCCTCTCGACTATAGTGTTATTGAGCTCATGCAGTGTCAGACCACAAGCCCTACTCACAGCATTTAATGCTCTTCGTAATATGATATAATCTTTTTGAGAAGCCCAGGAAAGATTAATGGAGAGCAATAGAGTACAATAGGTAAAATACAGAAGTTTAAAGTTTGCAAAACTAAAGTTTGGTTGATACCTGATTGTCTTAACTTTTTAATGTAGAAGGTAAGACGAAACATTTTCTTAGAGATAGATACGATGTGTGATGACCATGAATAGTCAGAGGAAAGAATTAATCCAAGGTATTTATTGCTTGACTTGGTTACAATCCAAGGTAACTGATTGCACCATCAAAATAATTGCACAAATTAATCACTGATAAGGCGTATTCACATAGAAGTGGTATGTAAATTTGGGATGTTTATTTCTGAAGGCATGGTAGTGGGCGAGTGAAGGGGCAAAATCTAAGCAAACACACGGGAGGTCATTCATCATTCAACAGATAAACAAGGTCTTGAAAATCACGAAGAAGACATAGTCCCTATCTGCATTCATTAATGCTTAACTATGCGTGAATGACCATAGCATCCTCTGTTGTAGAGACACTGTAATCCCACGACTGTCGCATCTGTATGCCTAAATATTATGCGAAGGATATTGAGACATGATTGGATGTCTGACCCGCTGTTTTTCAAAAACACACTATTGTGAATAATGCCGAATTCTAGGGAGATTGAATACTCATTAGAACTATTCTTCACCATTCGTTTCATTGTGTATTTACAACAAATGGAAAATATATTACTGTGCATCTGGCTAGTACACTGAATTAGACTTCATATTATTTCTATATAGCATGATTAATTCTTCATTCACTACATTTTCCCTTATTCGCAGTTTATTGACCTACTTTATCAGATGATATGAAAGCGATTGACAATGATAGCGATGTTTATAGCAAAGTGCATCCGAACATTTATTAACCTAATGAATACAATGAAAAGACATCATTAAATAAATGCTATGACACTGAGTACATTATTGAGCATATGGCATAATATCTGAGAAAGAGAACTTTTAATAGAAAACAACCACACAAAGTAATAGCGTTTTCTAGTAAGGATACAAAACAGGAACAAATTATTAAGGGATTATGTTTTTTTTAAAAGCCTGAATAATACTGAACCTCAAATGAAAAGTGTTTACACAGTTTATCCGAGTTTGAGGCAAACAAAAATAAATAACACAGTAGCGTTTATGTAAACAACACAGTTCTTCAATAAATGAGAAACATATTATAATAAACAAGTATGCATAGACTAAATACAACTAAACTATTCCATTATTGGTTTCTTTGGGTTTGACTGATTAGTTAGAGGATTTCATCATGAGCTCACATAGGTTAGAGAACCATAGGAAAATCTGAGAATTCTGGCTTCCAGCCGAGGCTGTTGTTTAGTGTTGAAAAGTCAGAAACTACGACGAACTAGCTGTCCAGTACTCCCAGATTTTCGAATGGTTCTCTAACCGATGTCGGCTCATGATGAAATCCTGTATACAACTAAACTATATTTCCACTGAAAGTTATGTGACCACTTAGATGTAAGTATGAGCAACTGATAGTCATTCAGATATGAGATTATATATCCTGTTCTATTTTTATACATTGTGTTAGTGAAATCAGCTCTGAATTATATACCGAACAGATAACGAGTATTGTTTATCGAACTATTAATCTGTTATAAAAACTAAACGGCTGCTATGATGATCGAAATAGAGACATAAACAAGTCCTGTGATGAAAAGCAAAGTAATCTTTCTATATTTCTTTTAGTCGTAATTTCTTATGACATTAATTACTTTCTGGTGTGTTTATTACATAGTCTTGGTCCTTCATGTGCTTTTTCCGGATTAGTTACGCATGAAGCAACAAGTGTGGACTGATGAAGATGTGACAAATTTTTGGAAGCAATCTTTCACTGTACTGTTGTCCCCGCTGATGTAATTCCCAACTGGAAACTACTGAAATAATTAGATGAGATTATAAATCTACCGATCAATAACAACAAGATTAGATGATCTTTCTGTCTTATATTAGTAATTTATTCAACCGGTCTTATCGACTGTTATTGCACTTCAAGTTGATTGCTATTTATCAGATTTTGGTAGTAGTTGGTAACGTCTATTGGTTAAATCCATCATGTGTATTCTTTCCGTTTTTGTACTCCTTGTACACGATGATTTTCTATAGTCTTATATTAAGTCACAGTATTTACTTTCAAACTGTTCATTGTGTGTGAAAATACATTACTGAATATATCTGAAAATTGCATTTTAAATAATGTCTGCTCTTCCGACTTCATTGAGTCGTTTTTACTAGCCTATTCTAATAAATCTGACTGAAATAAT